AAGTGTGTATTTGTAAAGGCGATTTAATTACCTACTAGTGTTGTATTCAGATTGGTGCTTATTAGCACTGTTTGTGTTGATATTAACGACTCGAGCCCGGAAGCGTTACTACTCGTTTACGGCAGTTTTGTTTTGATTTTCTATTAAATTGGACGGTAATTTATGAAATACGAATTAAGTTTCTTTCTGTACTCAGTGGTTTTACAGTAGATACTTTGATTTGAATTCACGTAATAAGTACAGATTTTCCTTTGTATGCAGTGACTTTTTGTGTATGAATGAGCTAACTTTACTTTTACAGGAGTGTACCGCCTCACCCCCATTTCTCTTAATATGTGTTATTTACAGTAAAAAGGCGATTTCTAAGAGAAAAAGAACTTAACAGGTTTTAATAAAGGCAATTGATTTTTATTAATTTATCCTTTCCCCTCTCCTTGAGGCCAGAAGAATCATCGACTGAAGCTAGCCGGCGCCCAACAACAATTATTTTATTATAAGAAGAACCACCCCCAAATAAAATATTTTGAGAAGAGACTGTAAGGAGAGTTGAAAAGTAACCAGCGGGTTACAAGTGGTGTAATAATCAAGGGGGCGTATAACTCCAGGCTCGACTCGGCGTATGACGGCCCCAAGTGGAAATCCAGATTTAAGACAACACCCTCGTCTTTCTGTCGTGCGAGGCGACACGTAAGACGGGGGTTGATGGCTGACTCACAATGATCAATTGGCTGTGTCGTCGGGTCAGACCGCCGCCAACTGGGTGCGCATTTTGAGAGCTAGTGACAGAAGACTAGCCGAAAGTAGACTCTAACCGAATAACCTACCTCGAAGCGAAGCCAAGCTGTTTTCTGCTACCCTCTAGAAGCTATATTCTCCTGGTAGCCCTGGCGTTTGGATAGACGTGTTGGGCTCCGTGGTGGGTGAGGATGGGGAGCTTGGATGACGAAACTTCACGTATGGGTACTGAAAAACTCAACAAACCCATTGAACCAGAGGGAGCAACCCAAGATAGCCCGCATTTCCGGCGCTGAACAGAAAAGGAGGAGCAGACCAGACTGTCCAAATGGACCAAACTGCTTTAACATCGACACCCAAACCAACCACCTCTCGTCACCCAACCCGGACCCATAGGCAGGCTTCTCGAGCTATAGTTTTAGTTAGGCGGGAAAATGAGTTGGCGAAGAGTTGTGTGACTCAATACAGACTCGACTAAAGGCGAGTGCCAGTAAGGCTGAAGTACCTCGCAATCGTAGCTACAAGCAAGCAGCCAAGAGGCAACTCAAAGTAGCGATCTAGGATACCAATACTCTCCTGGGTAGGCTAAAGGCTACACGCGTATATGGGACAAAAACACCTGGCCAACGTTTTTAATCAGCATCTGTTCGTCTTAAAGGCGCTATAGTAGCACCCACGTTCAGGGGTTGGTTCCCTTGAGTGGTTGATGGAGGTGGTTGGCACTGTGGGAGGCTGCACACCTAAAGGTAGTGCAGGAAGACCGTCTTCTTAGGCTCGCAATTTGGGTCCCCAGGAAACATAACGACCTGGCGGTTGTCAGACGGCGCCTGGAAGCGCACAATTCCTCGGCAAAGGTAGGCAGCAGGTGTGTCATCCATACAGATCAATCTCAAGGGAAGCTGATAGTTTTCGGCATTGAAGAAGAGGACCAGGCTAACCTAACCACCAGAGGGGGGGGGGGACTCAGTTATGAGTGTTCTTTTGTAAAGGTGAGGGTTGCCGAACCAAAGGTGTGCTCCTCATTATAAAGCAGGACTTTGCCCTTATTCAAGAACCCCGTGTTGTTAAATCAAGGGTTTCTGATCTTGGGAGTTCAAAAGGAACCGTTTTCTTTGATACACGGCAAGAAAAAGCAAAAACTATCTATGTCCCTAGCCACCTTAAAGATCTTCTACTGCCACACCGTGACAGGGATAACACGACTATTCAGTTAAGTTGTGACATACAGGGTAAAGCTGAATTAATAGTAATAGCATCTCCGGGGAGATTCTGACAACCTATAAATCAGTATCGAGTATCTCTGAGCATATAACGAACTGGCAAGTTACTCCAGAAGCGACTCTGTCAAATCATAGAATAATGTCATTTAAAATTACCTGCAAGGGCTTACGCAACATTAGGGTAACGGACTTCCCTTTTACAAACATCTCTTTATAGAAACTCTTAGAGAGCGCCCTCTCGGGGGACGCCTCTCGAGTTGGAATCATTTGGACAGACATCCTCTGAGGTGGTGGTGCAGGGTGCTCGAATAGCAGGAAACTCAGTTTGCCGAAGTATTGAATATGGCAAAGAAGTACAAAGCTACAGCCGACTGGGAAGCCTATAAGGTAAACCTAAGGCTACATAAGAAAAAAATTAGAAGGCGCCAAAGAGAGGCATGGAATAGCTATATAGAACTAACAAATACTTCATATTATAACCCACCTAGCCTCAGACGGGAGGATGGGCCTTATACGAAACTTCCAGAGCCAGTCGAAGTGTTGAGAGACGCTCACTTTCCTGGTACCACTACAGCGCCATACTTCAACTGGCCAGCGGCAACTCTCTACACTCCCACGGAGAATGACTGGGCGGTTGCCAGCTTGATGGTGAATGTGACGAGGGTGACCTGCACGGTGAAATCGTTTTCAACTTACAAATCACCAGGAGTGGACGGCATAACACCAGCGCTCCTGCTACCTAGTGAGAAACTGAGAATATATACGAGCTGTATCTCTTTCAAACCTGGCAAAGGTGATTACTCCACACCTAAAGCATATCGTCCAATCAGTTTGTCTTTTCTTCTTAAGGCACCAATACGGTTTTCTCTGCACCCTAACACCTATACTCCCTAGGAAGATCTGTAGAGTCTGATTTTTGGACTGTAAAGAGTCCCACTGGGAGCATCCATAGACATAAAAGGAGTTATTGGCAAAACAACCTTCGAAACGTTACGCCACTATGGCGTAATGAAAGTCGTACCAGACTGGATTGCGCAGCTACTGAAACTCAGAGCAGTGTTGGCGGTGAAACACTAAGGTGCACAGTAGTGAGAGGATGTCATCAAGGTGAGGTGCTATCAGCACTTCTGTGAAACTAGAGCGGCTACTATAGGCTGAGGTATGCGGATGATGTATCCATACTAATACCGGCAATTTTTAGGTTACTCTATGCAGCCTGATGCAATCAGTTCTTGGAGTAACCGAAGAATGGTCTAAGGAACACTCCTTATTCATCAATCCGACAAAAACGGACTAGTTCTCTTCGCAAGAAAAAGAAAGGTAGAGAGTCGGCGAACTCCCCTGCTAAACCAAAAACGCACCTCAGTCACACTTGACAAAAAAGTGAATCAGAGCAAACATGTCTGAACAAGGCTGAAAAAGTAAATAGAGCTTTCTGGCACTCTCGCCACGCAGTTGGCAGACTTTGGAGACCATCCCCGAAAGCTGTCCTGTGATTGTATACTACCGTGATTAGGTCTATGTTCTGTTATGGAGCAATTGTTTGGTGGCGAGAACCAGGCTCTACACAACCATAGCACTTCTTAATCATGTGCAAAGACTAGCGTGCTTGATTTGCACGGGCGCGATGCGAACAACCCCTACAGCCGTCATGGAGGCCATTCTAGGTCTGCCTACATTAGATCTCCATGTGAGAGAACAGGCTAAGGGGCTGTTGAATAGCAGAGATGGGTCATTCTCGAGCCAGGCGATTAAGAGATTGCCAATCCTAGAGGTTTGATCGGACTCATTCACCGCTTAATTCATATTTGGGGAAAACGATCACATTGATGCGGAAGTGGCATCCCAACTAGACATGTTCATCTATAGTTCTACACAAATGGATCTAAAACAATGAAAGTAACAGGTACTGGTACCAACTCCAAAGAGATGAATTTCCATGTCACCTAACTACTAGGGAAACTTCCTACTATTTTCCAATTAGAGTTGGTGGGACTAACGCTTACGTGATGTAAAATTTCACGTTTTTTTAAAGTGTGTAATATTACGTGTAAAATTACCAATTGTTTATATTTTTTATGGTATTTTATGTAATTTATGTAACGTACCCTTTTTTTTTAAAAAAACCGTAATTTTACAGTAAACCTTTTTGAATTTTGTGAGTGTTTGAAAACAAATCACTTGTTAAATATATTTTTTGGTGTATTAAATAAAATACCCAAGCAGTAGGTATTTCGCCATCACGCGTCGTTTGGAAGAAGAAGTTCCAGATCGCGAATTAGATGCTGTATCGTCTTCATTAAACCAAACTAAATTCAACGGTGAATCGTTTACGTTGGTAGTGCCGTTGATGGTCTGTGGTAGTACCAATCAAAATGTATCAAATAGGTATTACATTCGTGTAACTTTACAAAAATTACGGTTTTTTAAATAAAAAACGTAAGTTACGTAAATTTCATAAAAGGCATAAATTACATTAAAAACCGACCTCTTGTAAGTTACGCGTAATATCGTAACTTACAAATCGTTATTTTACAATGCACATCACTTAAGCATAACACATCAGAATCTCCAGTGACAGCACTACTATGACTACCTTTTTACCGTTGAGTGAGAATTATTTATTTATTATTTCTCACTCAACTCTTGTTACAAATTACTATTTCTATGTTCGCATGAATTAACTCCAAAGCAGACTGTATCTAACTTAATCAGTGGTGTAGAAAATTTAGTCAACAAATAGACCTAAATGAATAAGAGTGACGGTTGGAGGGAAATTCGTTCCAAGTGGCAGTGGGCAAAGTTCGATGTGTATCTTTGAGTAATATAATTTTTTGACTTTGGGAAAATGGTTTCAATGGATGGTGCTAATCAGTCAAGTTCCTGTTGGGCATTCTACCCGTCTGAGGAATAACACAGTTCTCTTTATGAAGAGATGTTCCAAGATTTTGACTTGTATTAGTGCATTGCATGTAACACCCGTTGGAACCCACGAATTAATCCCATCAAGGCGAATACTGGGCATACGTGCAAAAAGACAATCAATTATGAAATGTGTGTTTTTACTTTCGTCTCAAAAAATTATCACAGTTAACAGTATAAATAACTAAACTAGGTGCACAATTAGAACATTCATCCTACGTAATAATACTAAGTACAATAACTTAATTGGAAATTTTACATTTGCCCTTACACATTTTAATACTATTAAGATGTACTGAAGGAATTCATACGATAGAAGTTAAAAACTACTTAATTATAATACTTATTGCAAGTACACCAAAGATCACACTTGTAGAACATCTTTTGGCTTGTAATCATTTCTGCTTTTTAGCAACCTATCTAACTCGTCTTCTGTGTAACAGACAACGAACTCTTTTGGCGACAGTCCCTCGAATACCGCACAAACGCTTGGCTTCAAATTGTAGAAAATGAGCGGCTGATCTCGTCCGGCGAAGTCTTTGGTTAAGGTTTCAATGACCGTTGCAGCGGTGTAATCGGCGCCGTAGATGTGGGAGCAGTCGATTACGGCCGGTGCTGCTTGTCGTATTGAGTGTTTGGTTACTAAATTTCGTACGTAGTCTACTGAAGGGAAGATGAGACAGCGATCTGGGGTTAGCATCAGGTACTCGATACCCGTTCGGCTCTGAAATGTGTCAAATGTTACAAGGTTTCGAAAGTCGTAGAGATCTCACTTACCGTTAGTCTTTCGACTGTGATTTTGGGGCGTGCAGCGTGGTAGAGAATGAAGAGTAAATTGATGCCAATTCCTATTAGTATTCCAATTTCGAGAGGCAGAAGGAGACAGGCTATGAATGTTCCAAGTCCCGGGATGAGATCGCTCTCTGCGAACAAAGCTTGGTTAGTATACAACTGAGTGGGTTACAAGCGAAATTACTTTTTGTTCTCCACATGGGTTTGACAACTTTTACTTCCACCATGAAGACGACGGCTGCAATAATCACGGCTGCCAACGCAGCTTTTGGAACGTAAAAGAAGTACGGGGTGAAGAATAGCAACGCTATGATCACCAACAACCCCGTGTAGAAACTGCCAAAGGGTGTACGGACCCCACTGGCGTTATTTACGGCACTTCGGGATAAGCTACCGGTTCCTGGGTAGCCTTGCACGAAAGAGTTGGCGATGTTACATAAACCGATCGCGATCAATTCCTGGGTGGCATCCACAGTTTTTCCATTTGCTGCAATATACGTCGGTAAGCAAAGTAAGACAGCTTTAATGATGCACTTACCGAATGCTTTACATATGGCGATGTTCTCAAGCAGAGCTATCATTGCAACTACTATAATCCCAGATCCCAGGTCGGACACCATGGTTGTGAAGCTGACCGTGTTATTGCCCTCCGTATATCCAAAGGACGGCACTTTAAAGTCAGGTAGGCCTTGGGGTATGTCTCCGATTAGTTTGAACGGTGGTGTTCCGTTCACATAAAATGAGTAGCCGATAAATCCTCCAATCACGACTAAAATTGCGTTTCGGGAGGTGCCGAACATCCATAGGAATTTGTTGACGATCTTGTGGAAGATTGTCGGTTTGTCCTCCTCCGGGCACTTTTCATCGGCTGGAACTTCAGTAGGACCGATCTTGATTGTGGCGACTATCTGTTTGCCAGGAGTTAGCACCGGGATACGCTTATCGTGGCGAGTCACTTACCCTCATGATTAGGAGAACTGCGATACAGCTGATTCCCAAGACCGCGTCCCAGACGGACGAGTTCTGAACCTCGGAGAATATGCTGATCCATTGTTCGACGAAGGTCGAACCGGACACTTTGATCGCGAGAATATCTTTGACTTGCGATGTGACTATAATTAGGGCGACCGCCGACGTGAAGCCCGATGACACCGGGCCCGAGACGAAGTCAATTATAAAACCTGAAGATTGAGAGTTAGTGTCTATTGCGTTGACTGCAAACGCTGAGCTTACCTAGTCCGAGCAGGCCCATGAGTAGCTCCAGGAGGCCCGTCAGGAAACAGAGAAGTATGGCATGTGCTGGTCCATGGCCGCGAACCGCTTGGAATGTCAAAAGGGAAGCAATCGCGGTTGGGCCAACCGGAACGTCTTTACAGCTACCGAAGAATATGTACACGAAACAGCCTAGGAAGGAACCATATAAGCCGTACTGTAATGGAAGAGATTAGCGTCGACGGTTTTTGTACAAATGGAAATCGTACCTCCGCTGGAAGTCCGGCGACATTGGAATATGCTAGAGATTGAGGTATGACAGTGAGTCCTACGGTAATACCCGCAACTAAGTCACCAATAGCATCTGAGCTGTTGTATTTAGGAAGCCAGCTCAGTATCGGTAAACGCCTATATAACATTTTTTTGGTGCACGCTCCTTTCGCTTTCCTCTTCATCCACGGTACTATACTTTTAATTGCATCCTTAGTCGAATGGGTTTTGTTCTCGTCAACCACTAAAATGTTGGGGGTTATTCTTCTGAGGCTAATTGACGCGGTTAACTTACAAATGAAGTCATTGCTGCCTACAAATTCGTTGGGTGGGTTCATGCTGATGGTAGATTCACTTAGGGCCTCATTTGTATAGACCGCATTGCGGCCGCCGCCACCGCCGCCAGCGACTCCTCGCAGGTCACCTTCGCCTTTGAGCGCGTTGCTACAATAAAACGTGCTGTGAGTTTGACGCACGTGGAAAATTCAAATACTAGGCGGTACGACGCGTATCAGTGGGCGACAAGCTTTAATCAACATTTTTTTCTACCTGCATTTATGGTAGTTGGGGAATTTTCTGTTATGCCTATCCCTTTTGTGTGTTTTCTTAATGAAACTGTGACGGTGGCCGTCATTCTTATTTCCACTAATTAAAATGTGGGATTTTATATCAGCATGACCGATTATTTAAATGTGCGTAATAGAAAAGTAATTAAGTAATCGGGACCGATTACCTCTTCATTTTGGACAAGCATGCAACTTAGGTATACTTGAAATACAAGTTCACGGTTGTAATGGATGGTGTAATTGTAATATTTTATGTTACTCAGATATTCGCACAAACTAAGTTCCAGCTAGGTAATTAAAAACTGCGATTTTGTAACGACTCTGGCCTGTGGCAAGTGCGAGCCTCTTTTTTTTTCAAAAAATAGGACCAGTCGTGCAATAAAACAGAATTGCACGAAGTCGAGCAGGTTCGACAACCTGCTTATCCCAAGGCAGCGCGAGCGTCTTGCACGGTGAGTGCCTAATTTTCAAAAATAAGAAGAGTTTTGCACGGTGAAAGGAACTTTCTCTCGAGATTTGATCCAAATAGAGGCACAAATTTTCCAAAACACGAACGTGAGTAAACAAAATGGGGTTTCCGTAATTGCTATCAAGCGAAAAATACCAGATTGCAATGCTTGCTCAATGCTCAGGTATTAAAAGCGAATTGATAAGTCTTATCACTTCTGCTTTCTAATTGAAACATCTAACACAATACTACTTACATGGAAATTCTGTGGTTATCACCATTGTCACCTATCATTTTTTTGGAGTGTAGTCGGGATAGTTGCGAAAGCCGTTTTTAAAAAAAAGCACTGAGCGAAAACTGGTCCAGAAATGCAAAAGTTACGTTCACAAACTCACAACTCGACAGAGTACAACTAGTCGATTTGAAAACTGAGCGGTTAGTTTGAAACTGGTAATTTTGTGCCAAAACACAGACATAAATGTAATACAAGTCACGTGACTGAGACGTAATTGGTGTACGATTGGAATCCCGCGAGGACCGCGACCCGCAACAACTAGAATCACGTGAAATTAATTGTTCATTAATCAACCCGTTCAAATGTTTATTAAAGATATTCTATCAGCGAGTTTATCTCGCAGATTATTTAAATGAATGTCGCGTATATTTAAATTATGTTGTAGCTACGCGCCACTACCGGTTTTTTTTTCAAATTTCGCGCCGTCTCTTTTATTCGCGCGAGAGATTCCACTTGCGAAACGATCTTGCTCTTGAATTTTAATTATTTTTTATTACGTGGGAAATATTTAAATTCGCGAAATAACAGCCGATATTGAATGTTATACCTCGTGTGACGTACGAATAAAATGGTTCGCTGATATGGTTACGAAAAACGGAATTAATTTCAATTTTGATTTTTTTCGCAACGTCGCGGAGAATGGGCAATTTACAATCGTGGCGACTTGATTGCTAGGAGATAGTTTCTAGGGCCTACGTAATTAGAGCGTCTCCCCGAAGATAACGGTAGTTTTGGTATACGTGCTGAAAAACACACAGATTGTGCCTGGAAGATAAATTTGCAATACGATGTTTCAAATATTCTAATTAATTTTATGGAAATTGGCGTTTATTTTAATACATATACTGAATCTATATTTTTTTAAATACATTTTATACCAAGATGCTCGTTCTGTTGTTTTGGTCTAGTGGTTCCGGCTGTAATTTGTTTTTTTTTCTGGGCGTCAATTTTGAGATCTTAACTTCTAACGGAAAATTTTGAGACATTTTGATGACAAGTGTTTTTAGGGTAATTAGACCCTGTTGAATCCGATTTTTCCTTTCACCACCTCGGAATCCTGCTGCTAAAACCCCAAATCAAGATGGAACCCCAAATGGCGACTATAGAACTCACTATACGATAGTTTTCTTGTTGTCAACAAAAATATCACGATTTTTATCCAGCACATACGTTTTACTATTTTTTACTATTTTATATAAAAATGTATAATAAGTATAATAAAAAAAATCAAGATGCCAGTCAAAATGGCGGTAGATCTGTCTATCCACCATTGTTAATAATAATAATTTTCGAAAAAAATAAATCAAAATGTTCCCAAATTGCCGGTATTTTTATGACTTTATGATATTTTAATAGCAAATTATCGAAATTTTTTGAGTGCAGAGAAATATTATTAATAGGTAGGTAATTTAATTATACATATAGATCCCCAAATATTGTTTACCTACACAGCGTTTAAAACACGCGCGTAATTACCTAAGGACCTTCTAGGACCGGGACAACGCGAATCTGTGGCTGCAGATGTGACAAACGTTTGGCAAGTTTTAACTAGTTTCAAAAATGTACCAAATTCTTGACACAACAGCTTCCTAGCTCAATTCTTCACCGTTTAACGTCTTCGCACGATTTTTTTACTCTTGTTTGTGTCACTAATACTTATTTCTAATAATTCATATATTATCTAAAGTCTAAACACAAAGCTCCTTATTCAATCGAAACGAAAGAATAAAAATGACATTTTACAACTTATCCTTAGGTAGAAGATACGGATATAGAAAGATATTAAAAAAAGTTTTTGACAGTTTTAAATTTTGTAAAATTTTAACAAAATCACAGTAACCGTTTTTGCGAAAAAAAATTGATTTAACTTTGATATTTTTTTCTCAGTTTTTTTATAATAAAACTTGGCACAATTTTTGTGGGTTATACACAGAAAAATACTTTAGCAAAAGTTTTAGGTTGCTATTTGAAAAAAAAGTTCGATGCCGTTGCGGCCACTGAACTATAATTAAACTGGAACGCGCACTGCCGGTCTCTACCATAGAAACGTAGCGCGCCGAGACAGATAGTGCAAGGGGGATTTCTGTCACTGTCACTCATAGGGAAACTGATCATTAAATTAAATTTAAAACATATCAAATAGGCTGCTCTATGCATGCGCGAGAATAGGACAGATATCCCCCTTGTGGTCCTCCCTCTCGCATCGCGCTGGCCGACGGAGCGCGCGTTCCAATAGTTCAGTGGTTGCGGCGCTCCAAAATTTTTTTCAAAAATCCGGCCCGTTATTTTTCGTTTCCGTATGCCTAATATACATATCCAAAATTTGAACAAAATCCGTCTAGCCGTTACCTCGCACGCAAGTACATACAGACGAAAATAGTTGTTATTTGTACAACTAGAGAAGAAAGTGGAGTTTTTCAACTCGAGTTCAAAGAGAGTTGAAAAACACTTTCTTCTCAAGTTTTACATATATTTTTTTCTGAAACTACAATCAAAGTTGGAAAATTATCGTATGCAATAATGAAGTTTGACACATACCAATCGAGATAGGGGTATGTTTCAATTTTAAATGTCATTATTAAGAATAACGCAGCAATTGATTTTTACTTTTCTCACTAGAGAGGAAAATCACATTTCCTCACCCTTTTTAGAGACGAATGTACCTAGTTATTTCTAAAGTAGTTTCAGAAAAAAAATTATTCTTAAAATGATCTAAAACGTCGACTGTTATGTCGACACTTGATGAAATTTTAACATGCCCAAAAAATGGTAATCGCAATAGCCACCTAGCTCATGCTAGGAAGCTAATTATTACCTACTACTTTTGAAGTTCTTTTGAACATGGAACCTATTGCGCTATTGTGAAAATGAAAGTGACAAATGCACGTATTTTGTGCTCATCAAACGCTTTTAAGGCATCTTAAAGGCGAAAAAATCCTAGAAAAAATCTATTTCGGAACCAAAACGCTCACGTCATCCAAAGAGTATCAATTTTGAGGTTTGAAAAACAGTCTTCGGTATATCACCGATCGTGCTATAAAAATTATTAAATTACCTACATCAGCAAAATTAAAATCAATCGTTTTGATGTTTTTGCACATTTTTATTGTTAAAATTTTGTTTTGTTTTCGATTTATTTTTTTATGCAGAATTTGTATACGGTAATGAATAATATGACCAATAAATAAAAATAAACAATGAATTTAAACGAATAATAATTATTTTAATTTTTGAAAAAGTGTAAATAAAGTTATTGTATTTCTTTTTCACGTAAGCATGAAAATTTCAAGCAAATTATAATTTTTTTGCTCACTTAAAGTAAAATAAATCAAGACTACTACAAAGCTGGTGTTAGATTTGATTGTATTCCAAGTGCTTATGTATAAAATTTCCTTTAAATTCTTCAGTAAATAAGGAATTTGCAATTGCGCATGCGCAAAACAACATTTCGAAAACGTCATTAATTTTACTTATATTCATAATGTTTACATATAAAGTTTCATTTAAATATCTTCATAAATAAAAAAGTTAGCATTGTACACGCGTTAATCCAAATATTTGACACTGCGCATGCACAAAACCCAAAAATATCGGTATGCACGGAATCCTTGGACCAAGCCATTTCAAATGAGCCCTATATCGCCCAAATCGGTTCAGTGGTGTAGAAGGAGTACGTGTGACGGACGGACGGACGACAAAGTGCAGCCAATAGCGATTTTTCACTTTGAGGAAAATACGCTAAAAAGTAGGATTTGATTTACCTTATCTCTTGTTTGATTCGTAGGGCGGGTATTATATAACGAATTAACGATTAAGGATGATCGTTCTAGTTAACAATTCGCCATTTTGTAGATGGTCAATAATTAAGTAAGGTTAAGTGGGAGTCATCTCGGGAAGATTTTCGCATTCATTCGGGTTTTGACCAGCAGCTTAATCCGTGTGTAGTCTGAAAGTTAAAGCTGTTAATTAATTCGCGTTATGATTACGGTATAGACGAAGAGCCAGTGACCAATTTTGGGTTGTCATTTCAAGAGTCGAAAGTTTTAGCCAAGGCTGCTCTACCAACCCAACCCACTATACATTTACAAATATCCCTGCCCGAATCCGGATTGGAACCAGGGACCCTTAGTACCGCAGTCACGCTATCACGCCACTGCGCCACACAGGACGGCTCATCAATGCACAGAAAAATACTCAACTTTATATTCGTACACGACTACTAAGATTTTGAATTGTTACAGCACCCTAAACCGTTAGAAGAGCCCCACCTTTTGTTTATGTCTGTGTATATAAGTACATAGCGATAAAAAATGAGTGACCGTCGAGCTACCTTTGAAATTTTTGTTTATATAAGAAACTTAAACTCAAACTTCCAAAAGCGACTCGTCAGTCACTCATTTTTGATCGCTCGATATGTGTCCTCTCTTTAACCTGTAGGTTGCCATATGACTGTAGCGGACACATTCTTCAAATCCTTCCATTTCTTTTTGACTACTTCCTATCGCTCGGTATGCACTAAAGTTTTGGACGGGAGTAAATTCACCTTATGCGTATTTATGTACTGTCTCTTTTGTTCTGGGCCCTCAACAAGCTTTTCGCCTAATTATAGAGTGACCCGCATGATGCTTTTTAGAGGTGCCTCTGCCGAAGGTCTTAAGTGAGGTCTTAAGTTGTTCTATAGTACTCCGGTATTTACCTTACGAATTAGGAAAACTGTAAGAAAACCTAATTCGGAATAGCCGGCAGAATGCTCGAAACTGATCTAAGAAAATTCCCATCTATGTCACAGATGAAAAATTCTTACCTCAGCCCAGGTTCGAACACCCGACCTCCAGCCCAACGCTCTACTACCATGTACTTTAAAGCGCATTTGTCCGTTTGAAACTAAATATGGCTTTAAAATCGTCGATGTATCTTCGAGTTTGATTAATATACACATTTAAAGCGTATGTAATTGCGTCGGAGAAAACAGAATGTATTTAAAGGTTATTGTTAATTATACGTATTACTTTGTCGCTTTATAAGCGATATTTAATAGAACGGTACATATAGCGCAACTGTAAGAATTTTTCCGTTTGTCCTAATTTTGCCAGATTAACTCTGCCATTTTCCTGAATTTTTCCGATTCTTGATATGCCCCTTAAAATTCTTTGATTATTCAGATTCTTCGCGTTCGTCGGTT